TTCAGGTGCTGGCGAATCTGGCAAAAGTACGATAGTGAAGCAGATGCGCATTTTGCATATTAACGGATTCAGTGAAAAGTAACGAATAATTAAAATTAATGATGTGATGGTTGACTAAAATGCTAAACGTTTGTCTTGCACATGCTATTGGCGACTGCCTGGGGGGGATGATGGTTGCTGATTGCTACCTGCTCCGTTTAGCATTTGCGATGAAGCGATGGTGCGAGCACGTTTGGAAAACTGCGCCGGAGGGTTTTCACTTCTGACGGAAGCTTATGACAAACCTATCATATTCAGGGAATGCAGTATTCATCGCGAAGGTCATTTTTGAACAGCATGGGATGCTGATCTTCGTTACAGTGCCATAATGACGGGCCCTCTTTTTATTACATTTCTTTGTAAAACTTATTATGAGGCACCGATCTTCGCTTTGATGCGACAGGATGAAACTGATTTGTCTGTAAAAACTGTGCTCAAAGCGAGGTTACAGGCTCAGTCTTCCCCATTTTTTCTGGTTTTTAGAGTGGAAATCGCACTAAAAATTGCATCAGCTGCAAATGAATCATTTTGTTAGCTCCACTGGTAACTGCGTTCATACGTATAACCATTGGAAGACTGAAGGCGGCTATCGATCACTCGTTTGTGAAAAATTGAGTGGGATTTCGAAACGGATACAGGTGACCAGCATCTATTTGTTAAAGGGAATGTCTAACAGTGCAGAAGCTTTCAGCTATCCTAACCCTCAGCATTTTTGGACTTTCAGGCAGCCATTGATTCAATCACTGCCGTTGAATTTGGCATCATGTCATTCATCATTATGCGATGTGGCAAGCCATAGCTAATGTAGGATATCTTGTGTATGAAGAAACCGAATGCCATCAGAACTGAAGTGCATCGTCGTACTGCATTAGTGGAGTCCATCAAACTTTGTGTTTTCTTCTGTTATTGTGTAGTATATAAGGTCGTCGCCTAAAGAACATTGAAGGACCATTATTCATCTATGTAGTTCAAGGTTTTAGCTATACTCTTGAATATACGGATGACGTAATACTGCCGAGCAACTCTTCAAGTAGCCTACTGACATTCACTGAAAGCGTGTGCCACGCGACCGTGGCAAAGACGCTACAGGAAAATTTTCAGAAGACAAAAATTGTGGAAGCGCTTGTCTCAGACAGTAACCGGGGGGATGCTATGCAGTACTTTCATGATACTGGAGTTAGACATTTAATTTCACGTATTTCTAAACAGTCATAGCTAATGATAGCAATTTTGGTCTTTAAGTAAACCCGCATGATCGACTGATATCAGCAAATTTTGTGCAGCTATGCGAAATGTGGAAAGGTCAAAAAATATAGGAGCGACATTTAAGATCATCTTCATGAATACAGCCTATCTGTTGTGCTCAAGCATTGTTTGGAAACATAATATCCTGAAATATCATGAAGTTCGCGTCGACAACACGCTGTTTGCGAAGTATAGTTAGAGTGTGAGATTGCCACGGTTCAGGAATGAGCAGTTGCTGACCATCACTTGTCTGACAGACTTTCGGATGAGCTTGCAGATAAGTGTTTGGCTTTGCCGGATAAAAGAGCCCAAGTAGAAATATATTCAGTTGTTCAGAACAAAATAGAGAAAGATTAATAGTTTAGATCTTCTGTCTTAATATCTCAATCTATGGATGTGCAAAGTGAATCATTAAGTGGCAGCACTGATCTGTTGAATGCGTTCAGTATCCGCTTCCGAAGGCGGCTGTCGATAATGGCCCACCGTCTTAAACGCCTCGTGTGCAGCCGATCGGTCACATAGTTTGGATATATTAATCTCTGGCATGCAGCAGCATTTGAAGCCAGGTCGTACCACTTCACCCCTAATATTAATTGTAAAATTTTCATTTTAGTCATTTCAGTTTTCAGTTTTCAGTTTTATTATTGCTGCCGTCTTTGGTCTATCAAGAAGGATGTTCAGAATGCATCACCTGTATATCTGTAGCTTTATCCTGTTGCCAGAATGTTTGTTCTTTCTGTGCTTGAACAATTTTTTGGTCACTGCTGATACCACGCTCATCGCCTCAGCTTCGATTGCCACTGGTTCGTTTTCAGCCAACCTACTCACGATATGCAGATTTATGATGTTTTCTAAAAATTCGGTGTGAAGTGTCAGGCAGTCTTCGGTCTGGGTTCTGCCATTTTCTGTCTACTTTGTCTTCATTAAGTGAACCGAGAGACTCAGATCAGAACACTTCTGTTTCAGTCTTAAGGATAGTGATTTCGCATTTTTGAAGTTACCTGAAAGCAATATATCATCCGCTGATGCAACAGAGATAACTCAGATATTGGCCGCTCTTGCCGCCGCAGCTTCGTTTCGTGTTGGCTGCAGCACCCAATAAAAACATAGCAAACAACAGTGAACATTTCACTGCCTGTTTTACTCAGGATTTTGTACGAAAGAATTTGCCGAACCTGCCATCAGTGCGCAAGTTACTTGATGAAAGGTCATAATCTTAATCAGTCAGTCATATAGTTTCCATGACTGCTTTTCCTTTCAGGTTTCAGAGGTAGGTGCTTCCAGCTTTCCCTATTCTGTGCCAGCGTTGGAGCAGAGTCTTTCTCTATGCGTTTCTTAGGTTATTCTTTACCGCCCCGGTGTCTTCGTCCAGTCAGTTGGGCATGTAGTAGCTGTTCCATCTTCTTTCCTGCAGGCATTCGGAGTATACGCCTCAACCATCCCAGCTGTGATTTCTCAGCCTGGAAAAGCAGCAGTTGTATGCCAAGACTCGTCAAAGTATCCATACTCCGGACCATGTAGAGAATCGTAGTCCTAGCGATTCCCCTCAGAAGGCTCATTTCAGCCGCTTGTACGCAGGATCGAAGCGTTTCACTCTTGGTCCACGACTTACCGTCAGTGAATATTGGGGTGAAGATAAATCGAGCATGCAGTTTGCATGCAGTGTTCAGACTCATCTCTGCTTTATTCACCAAGTTTCGGGCTAGTTCTTGCAAGACTCCGCTGGCGATTTCAATTCGCCCGACGATCTCCTCCATTTCTGTATCACCAGCAAACGGGATCCCATGGTACGTGAACTTCTTCACCTGTTTCAATGCTTCTCTGTTTATCTTAAGAAAACAACTAGCAGGAGAACGAGAGAATACTAAACTTTTCGTTTTAGATACGTTCACACGCATGCCGGCCACGGCGCACTCGGATGCATACCTTTTTAGAGAGCGCTGTAGATCAGTTTCAGAAGATGCCAACTAAACAAAATCGTCTGCAATCAGCAATCTTCTAGTCTCGATATTTCCTACACTGATACACTCCTCATCCTGCTAAATACTTTATTCTTCCATTTCTAGGCCCATTATCAATGAAATCCGTTCCACCTGATTAATTCTATATGATTTCTGTAATCAGAAATAAGCTTGCTGTTTGAATGGTTACCCGAAACTGTTTTATCAGAGCCTAGTCACCCGTTTGTTTCGAGGTTCATAACACGCCATCATGGCAACCGTTGTAGCTGGGAGAATTTACCGTGCTTTGCGCTGCCAAGCATGCTTTACGTTGGACATCGCCCGATTCTCACGACTCTAATGGGAGGTTGAACTTTGAAACTATGTTAGGGATTCAGTATTTCAGAAAAGAGCAGAACGGAATTTCATTCACATTAGTCTCTCTCAAACCCGGGTACAGTAGCGCGGAATTATGGATTATTACTTCTAGCTTGTAAATATCAGAGAAGAAACCGACTCGATTGTACTGTCTGATGAGTTTTTTCCATGCCTTCTAAGGATTTATATTCGGATATACTGATAAAAGCTAGCAAGGTGTGACCTCCGCTGTGGTGTTAGCAGTGTTTATGTAAACTTAGCAGCCTGACATTCTTGAAGTCTGACTCGATTTTCAGAACAGGGTCAGTTCTGTACATCTAATTTTAACAACAATTATCGTGCAGTGTTGGGTTTGTCACTACATTTCCGTTTTAAAGCCGATACTTTTTAGAGAACGTCGAGAGAGGATTATCGACATTAAAAATAACGTTCGGGAATCAATAACAGTACGGATTTTGCGCTGCACGGATTTGGCTGAGTAATACGATGATTTTAGGTCATAGTTAGAGCCATGAGTCAACTGGTACCTCCGATACCGTTTGAAAATGTTGCGAACGAACAGAACGCTCATTACGTAACGGAAGCGGCTTCGATTTCGAATTACAACTATCCGGACGTAATTCTTAAGCTTCTACGTGTTGTACGACTACTATAAATGATTGTGACTTAAATTCGAACGATTCGGTTTTACGTGCAATACAGTTTTGTTCATTTGCACGTACTCGCGTGCATTTCATTTCGTTTCAGGAATTTTTCGATCACGTAAATGCATTGTGGAAAGACGCAGGGGTCAGAGCCTGTTACGAACGTTCAAACGAATACCAGCTGATAGACAGTGCTAAATAGTAACGACGCCTTTCGCTCATATGCACTTTTAGCGTTCAGTTCCACGCTTTTAGCTTTCTGGACAAGACAGACGAACTTAGACGGCCGGACTATACGCCGTCAGAACAGGTAATTTCATTTCTTTGCGATTAACTGGTCGTCGTATTTTTCCTGGTTAATGGAAATAAATCGCAAAAATTTTGTCCCCTGCCCTAAGCGTGGATGATATAGCGAAAGAACTTCATTATGTTTTCTTCTTGAACATATATAATTTAATCGAATAGCATGGTACTGTTGCACCATCTACTTGCTCCCGCACGCGTAGGAGGCTATTTATACAGTTCATGGTTCCAAAGTATTTAGTGCCTACAACGCGTGGATGTATTTCAAATCAGTTACTGCTTGAGCAGCGTTTTTCTTGTCACAACGACGTTTCAGAAATTTGTAATCATATGCTTTCGCAACCTAAGAATATGAGTTCTTACGCAGAGAGAGTGTATATGTGTAGCTTATCAAACGGTTACATGGCATTATTGCTTTATCATTGCTTAGATGTTTGCTGTGTGGTTAAGCAGGCCAGGACCCTGTTTTGTTTTATTACCTACAGTTTAAATACATCGCATTGCATCAGTTTGCTGGCTAAAGCAATATCTTTCTCATTACCGGTGATGTTTCATGTCTCTATATTTTGCCAGTAACATCCGACATAGGTAGAGGTGGAGCAGTATCTTTCTCGTAGCCGTAGTTACCGATACTCCATATGTACCTTCGCAGCAGTATCAAAATTGTGAGTTCTTACGCCGGGATTATGATGAACATTCAGCGTCGTCCTTGTTTCTTTTCGCCGAGTGCCAACAGTTATAATCCTCTACGAAAATCATAGAAATGTACCGTCTAGAGTCATTTAATTGTGGCTTTTAAAATTATATGCGATCCTTATTTGTTTTCATTATGTTTTACTATCCCATCGTTAGCCGCCTTGCAAGACTGCGCGTTTCGATATTAGAAAACGTTTACGTCGACGAACGAAAGATTTCTCATCATCACTCCCAGATTCATCCAGAACTACATTTAATGTCGTCTTCCGTGTAGTGTGCTGACCATTGATTTTTCGTCGACCACGTTTGAAACAGTTTACGAACCAGTAATGCTTCTTTGTTTCTCTGCGGGTCCCGGTCTGTGATCGAGGGCATGTGCCAGTCCTGACCTACGGCATATTTGTCTGTGAGAACAGCTAACGCCAGAGCACGATCACTCCAACTGATCACTGGTATGCATGGTGTTTAGCGCTGTTAGAGACCCTTTAGTCAGCATTATTGCTGTTGTGAAAACCGCAATTCTGTACAGTAAATCGATTTCGCTGCTGGTAAAAATGGACCTCTCTGTTCACTAATTCTCTTTTCAAGCCAGATTTTCTGTTAGATTCTGAAATTATAAGAAACCAGCGCAATTTGCGTATTTAAGCTCTAAGAGCCACGATCATCTGATGTGATTGCGATGAAGTAATTGACGTCCAGAACATATTCAGTACTATTGTTTCTGTGATACACTTCTGAGGGAAAAATAAGTCTTTCCTGTAGGCAGTAGATACTATGTCGAGGTGCAGACTACAGGATCCCTCGTTCTAATGGGCGATTTCAGTATGCATGTTCGAGCAGACTCCTAAAGTGGAAAAACTTATTTGGAATAACCTCCCCTCATGATCTCTACAATGGCGGCAAGAAGTTGTTGCAGTTTTGATCGAACAGCGGCCTGTCTGTTGTATCTGTTATACCTTCGAATATCGAAGCGTGCATCAGTGCATCTGGCACTGGGAAGCTTCTTGCTCCGAATTAGATGATTAATTTGATAATTATATGACTTACGGCGCTCTGTGATGGATTT